TATTCCATCATATATAAGATCAACAAGAACTTTATTAAACCTTCTTATTTCTCTTAAGGTCTCATGCCACTAATTAACCAATGGCTGCTAGTTGCCCTCAATTTAAATGCCTTGCAAGAACCAATGAAATTTTTTAAATATTTTTTTTCTCAGGTGCTCCCTGTTTGAGGGCGTAATCACCTGGGTCAGAGGTGAGACCAACATGTGGTCTTTTGTTTACTACTTAGCGGCTGTGTACCTGTGGGTTTATTCTGTGTGTATTTGGATGTTCTAATCTTGGTGTTTTTCCAGTGATTTCTCTAGGTGCAATCCAAATACAGTAGGTGTGTCTTGTTTACCTGAGATTTGCAAGAGTTTGAACTGGCCAACATGTTAGTTTTTTTCATATGGTTGATTACTGGCATGTTGATTTCCCATTTTTGAACCATATTTTCAACTTTCTTCGTCATTTTCATATAGCAATCTCGTCATATGTTAACATTGTCGTCTATTCAATTAGGGGTATGAGCCCTCAATACAATCCTCGAGGCCGGACATCCGGGCATTTTCATCGCCTGGCAACCCTCGTGGTGAAAACAAAGGCCAAAACCTGCAGAAAATGGTACTTTGGGATGTTTGTTGAGACTCCCCTGAACAGTGTAACAAGATTATCCCTATGTGTGTAACATATATGAATTTGGTTGTTCAGGATTACTTCAAAGTTGAGTTTGTGTTGTTTTCTTGAATTTTCACTGGCTCGACCTGCGTTCCACAGCAGCGCGCACAGAGCCCATAGAAATGCATGTACAGTGGTGCTCGTCGTAGCAACGTGGAACGTCTTGTGACGTAGCTCCGCCCCTGAGGATACAATGTATTCCAATACATGATAAGCAAGCTTTGGGCTCCATATATAGCCTTGGCTGACACCTCACACTCACTGTCTCACAAAGTGCACTTTCATCCATTATTATTTAATTACAAGAATTAATAAACTAATTGGTAATTTATATTACTGATATCTAAAATAATGAATTTAAAATAATTTTGTTTTGTCACAGACTGAATCCAAATAATTATGGTGCTATGTTGAATTACGGGAAAATCATGTTGGAAAAAGGTGACGTACAAACAGCAAAACAGCTCTTAGAAAGAAGCCGGGAAATTCAGTAAGAATTAATAATTACATTTTCTAATATTGTTCTGTTCTTTCTGTTTGAAAGTAATTTGTCTGAATCCATCATGAGTTATATATTGGTGATTGAGACACCTTATATGGAAGTCATCTTA